CACTATGCTTCATTGTATGACACTACACTTCATTGTGAGTCACCATGAATTACTGTGAGGCACTATGCTTCATTGTGAGTCACCATGAATTACTGTGAGGCACTATGTTTAACTTTGTACACCTCTTTTACCAAAACTTCAGTTCACACATTGAACCCATGTAGGGAATCAAACCTGGGTATTTAGCCTAACAAGCGGAACCTTCAACCACTGGACTACTCTACCACCTTGAGTTCTCCTGCCTGAGAACCTTTGGATATTTCCATGGCATCTTGTGATCCCTGACATTTTGTACAGTGTAAAATGATAAACAACACAAAATGTATAATAATATGAAAAGACTTCAAGCTTAGATTCTCTTCCTAACTTACCAACACAAACAAAACAGACATTTCTAGATCACATCTAAACTTAATAACACAACTGATATGGCACACACAAATATAACAGTCAATATGGCAGGTAGACCTCTCAACAACTCAAAGAAACAAATCATCACCACCCTTGTGGTTTCACACACATATATTTCAACTTCAGGTCAACTGCAGAAGCAGGCACTTTACAAAGGTGACAAACATAACAAACACAATGTATTCTTCGTACATGAGAATAAAGACGTTTTTCCTCCTTACATCGAACATATTCACAATCAGTAAACCAAGACAGTGAATTGGTACCAGGAGTCCTTCTTTAAACAGCATTTACATTACTATGTTTTCCTAGAAGACTCGTCATATTTACATTCTGTACATTTGGCATGATTTGATAAAGATATTTCCTTTGACATAGGGGAATGATGGTACTAAACTAGGGGAAGCACTGGCAGGTCTGAAGAGCATCTAAAGTGGATCAAACACTACATTCGGAGATTAATTAACTGGTTGAGAATGCCATACAATGTCTTTAATTAGAATATTGAGGTAGATGGTGAGAGCTTAAAGCTGAAGGAAATCCAGAAATTCTGACAAAAAATAGTTAAGTATTTTTGGTATATATGGGAACCAAAGCTGTTTCAGACTAATTTCAAATTCTCTAGTGCTAACAGTACTAACAAAAGCCCTAAAACAACATCAGCTCCTGTTGTTTCTTTTTGTGCCATATGCCAATGTCTAACAACACTATATGTGTGACTCAATAATCCTGATAGAACATTTTGGAATCCTTGTGTTTGGAGAGAAACATCAGGTCATCTGAGAAGGCACATTTTGACAACATTCAAAGGGTCTCCTTTAGTGAAACAATTAGTACAATGTAAATAAGGTCCATTTCCTGTTTCAAACTGAATCATTTCCCCATTCTACCTTCGTGGATTTATTTTACATGGTTATGATCGGTGAATCTCAACACATTTAAGTGACATGACTGTGTCGGTTTCTTTGGCATGCTCTCTATGATAGTTAACGAACAGACTTGGAATCACTTCATAAGATTTGCATGGCAAACAGGTTTCACTATACAGCTCATTCAAACATTGAAACATGGGTATAGATTTTTTAAACGAATTCCTAACTTTGATCCTAGCCAATGTGTTAAGAATGGGCTTAAGAATGTGCTTACAACCGTTTCGGAAATCTAGGCCCTGTAGTTTAGTCAGACATTTTTCTCACTGTACACATGGTCCCATTAACACAATGCTCCAAACAAATACTGTTCAAATTCAACATCAACAAGACACAATGTCCAGCAGCGTATCTAACAGCAAGACACAATAGCACATCGCAAATCATAACAAGACACGATGGCAGGCAGCATATGTCAGATGAGACACATTGTCAAGCAGCTTAACACAGCATATCAACATGTCACAATGTCAAGCAGATAATCCCAGCATATAAACAAAACACATTGTCAGGGAGCTTACCATAGCATTTCTACAACACACTGTTGCAGGCAGCACATTTTAACAAGACACAAAGGCAGCGAATCATTAAAAGACACAATGTCATTCAGGTAACCATAGCATATCAACATGACACAACGCAATGCAGCTTACCAAGGAATATCAACAAGACACAATGTTAGGCAGCAAATTGTAACAATACACTTGAAACAGCTCACCATAGCATATCAATAAGACACAGTGTCAAGCATCTTACCATAGCAACAAGACACAGTGTCAAGCAGCTTACCATAGCAACAAGACACAATGGCTGGCAGCTCATCTTACCATAGCAACAAGACACAATGGCTGGCAGCTCATCTTACCATAGCAACAAGACACAATGGCTGGCAGCTCATCTTACCATAGCAACAAGACACAATGGCGGCATATTAACAATGCCAAGCAGCTGATCTTACCATAGCAACAAGACACAATGGCGGCATATTAACAATGCCAAGCAGCTCATCTTACCATAGCAACAAGACACAATGGCGGCATATTAACAATGCCAAGCAGCTCATCTTACCATAGCAACAAGACACAATGGCGGCATATTAACAATGCCAAGCAGCTCATCTTACCATAGCAACAAGACACAATGGCGGCATATTAACAATGCCAAGCAGCTCATCTTACCATAGCAACAAGACACAATGGCGGCATATTAACAATGCCAAGCAGCTCATCTTACCATAGCAACAAGACACAATGGCGGCATATTAACAATGCCAAGCAGCTCATCTTACCATAGCAACAAGACACAATGGCGGCATATTAACAATGCCAAGCAGCTCATCTTACCATAGCAACAAGACACAATGGCGGCATATTAACAATGCCAAGCAGCTCATCTTACCATAGCAACAAGACACAATGGCGGCATATTAACAATGCCAAGCAGCTCATCTTACCATAGCAACAAGACACAATGGCGGCATATTAACAATGCCAAGCAGCTCATCTTACCATGGTAACAATGGCATGCAGCTTATCATAGCATATCAATAAGATACAGTTTCAATGGTACATACATATAACAAAGCACAGGTAACTGTCATCATCATGCACACAGAGATTATCACATCTATTGTTGGAAATGTATCACAAATATCGCTCAGCAACAGCTCAGCTTCAACAGTGTCTGTTGTACACACCTGGGATGCTAATGTCAGTGTTTGGTCACACCAACTACAATGTACTTGTAAGGCACCCAGATCAACAAAGGCATCTAGGTGGGGAGGTTACAGGAACAGCAATGATGTTTGGTTGGAGACCCACTCCAAACATGGATTTCAAGCCCCATCCAACTCACAATAAGATAGTAGTGCTGTGACTGCCTCAAGTCTGTCGATGCCTATATGATTTACTATCTTCTGTATTGCTGACACCATGATAGAAAGTTCTAATGAGATTGTATGGATAAGATTGCTGTAGGTCAATATTGATATATTCTCAGGGACCCACCATTGGCATTCTGGGATGCATAAGGTGCTGGGATTTGACCAAATGGTAAACTGTTCCCAAAAATTCTTGAAAATTAATTTATACTTTGGATTGTTGAAAAAAAGCACAAAAAAATAAAGGCTGATGATTGATTTTGCAGCTTTTGTCAGTTTTTAGTTTGGAAAATTATCTAGTTTAGATATGTAATCCCAAACCACCTATTGATTATCAAATGGTTTGTCTCGTTTTCTGAAGGAATGCCCAGTATATATTGCTTGTAGTTTGTCTGTGAAGACTTCCTAATAAGTGTGTTAATGTTTCTCAAAGAAAATGGCTTGATATTATTCATAATTCATAGTCTTAAAACAACATTTCATGGTCTGTTGACTGTTGATTACGCAATGGTAAACTAGTTGCACCCCTATGATCTAAAAGTGGTCTATTCTAGTTGAAGAAGTGGAAGGACAAAAAGACATTTTTTAAAGAACATATTTCTGTGATTTGTCTGTTATTTATTTACTCTGTTATTTGTCCCTTTTCCGATCACAATGATATTCACATCATATAAAATCATATAACATGATATCACATGTGTTAAGGAACTTTACTTGTGCGGATGTCCATTCTCACTTCTCCACGAACATTGTCTCAGCCTGAACTTCTTAGTGGATGTACCAATCCTCTTTACTCAACTACATATCCTTATAACAACTGAGTATTTTACAGTGAGAAATTAACTACATATCATCATTGCCTTTACAATTTAGCTTGTGCATTAATCCCTTTCTTTTTATTTTAACTGAACTGAACTGAACTTTATTTCAACTCAGGCCACAGACAGCGGCATATGAGGTTACATATATGTTACAATTAAATATATTCATATAGTGTGTGCAGTCGAAATATTTCATATATACAGATGAATAAGTAATGCATTATATATATAGATGGATTGCAACCACACTTGCTTATACGCCTCTTCTAGTTTACATTCAAAATTTTGGGAATTGCAGATATAACTAAGTCCAATTTTGTCAAAAAAAATATTTAATATTATTATCCATTTATGCTTACTGTTTCCAAAATGTGTGTCGTTCAAAAGTAATTTAGACATGAGTAAGGATAATTTGGAAGATTTACCTAATTAGTATGGCACTGACCAGGTTCATTATAAGAGTTGGAGCACATTTTCTAATCCCTACATTGTTTTTGTATGCGAAATGGGATGTAGGCGAATTGAGATGTAGGAGAATAGAGACTAAACCATTCTAGCAATATTGCGGCGGGGGACACCAGAAATGGGCTTCACACATTGTACCCATTTGGGAAATTGAACCCGGACTTCAGCGTGACAAGCTACCCCACCGTCCCTACCTTGATGTGAAAAGGACACATGACTTACAACAGATGCAGCACTACCATGACTTTTTTGCGACAGGATCTACACTACCCGTGTCCAAAAGATGAAACCATTTGCTCCACAACCTAATACCTCTTCAGTTTAAGCCATGACTTAATCGGACAACTATCTGCTGAGGATGACAAGTGTAATATGTCAAATGAAATGCTCCAAACAGTATTAGTATCTCCTGAAGACAAAAAGCTGTGGATCCTTCTTCATCCAAGCACTGACGATGTCATAAAAGTCTCTTAACAGAATCATCTTGGAATGTGGTATTCAGAAATGGGCAGAGTGGTCCCAATCGATGATCATATATATTGGGAAGTTAAAAATATTTATATCCTGATGGCCAGAATGGTTAAAGACCTTTTCCCATTGGCAGTGAATATTGAAGAATAACAACATATCAAAACTGCATCTTGAAGTCTAGCTACCTGATAATTGCAAGTGAATTTCAACATCACAATAATTGAAACCAGGCCTGTCTATCCTCCTCCAGCAGAACATCCTTCTAAGCTTGGTCAAGTATCAATGTTTCACCAAGAGTTGCGTTGATTGGAGTTACTTAGACAGGCTGAAGAGGCCCACCTTTATTCTTTGGGATCGAGGTCTCTATACATTGTACAGCCACTTTAGATCGTCACCACAGTGAGCTGGTCATTATGTTGCTACGACAACAGTTTTAGGCACTTTGAGAGAGGTGATAATGATATGTTACATGAATGATGAAGAATTGTATAAATAAACAATGGACTGATTCTTATGTACATGCAGTATGTCTGTTTGCTGCTCAACATACTATAAATATGATATGTAGGACAACTTGTAGTGTGCTCATTCACTTCAAGATCTTGAAAATGTCTCATTTAGAGGCAGTTATGGTTCCATCGATGAAGTTTGTTTTCTGTCAGACATGTGCTAGTCAATGGGCATCATTAATGAAAAATAACAGCTGAAATGCCACTCCAATATGACAACCACTTAATGCCCCTTGAAAGTTGCTGCCGAAACACTCTGCCAACTAACTCGAACATTTTGGCATCATGGTCTGTGATATTAAGGAACATCTTTAACCAATCTTACAAGAGGGAAACTCATTTAACACGCCTGGATTCAATGTTCATGTCACACGTTGACGGAATCCAGATGGTCGAGAGACTGTAGTTCCATCACTTCCTTGTGCGAGGATTTGAGGAGTTTTGTGACCTTGGAGTTAGAGGTCACCACACCATTTGATTGGCAGACTGGCTTTACCTTTCTCAGTTTCATTTGTGATGCCTGCAATAGAAGAAGCATATGGTAAGTAGATGAGCATGATTGTATTGTAAGTCTTTCAAGTGTCTAGTAGGATTTGAGATTTATATTTATAGAATTTGTTCATCACAGTCAGACATATATAAATACAAAAACACACCCAAGCTCTCTCAAACACCAAGACACTTACCAAGGTACATGTACATTAACTCAAGGTGCTGCAATTTACCATCCATTGAGTGAGTGAGTGAGTTGAGTTTTACGCCGCACACAGCAATATTCCAGCTATATGGTGGCTGTCTGTAAATAAGTGTCTGGACCAGATAATCCAGTGATCAACAGCATGAGCATTGATCTGCGCAATTTGGAACCGATGACCTTTAAAGGGACGGTGAGGTAGCACAGCGGTTAAAGCATTTGCATGTTACGCCTATCACCCATTTTCGGTTCCCCAAATGGGTACAAAATGTGAAGCCCATGTCTGGTGTCTTCCGTGGTTATATTGCTTGAATATGCTAACACCAGTGTTGAATTACACTAAACTTGCCTGTCCTTCAAAACTTCATTGGAAAATATCCTTGTGATTATTATTCTATTTCAAATATCTTTTTTTTTCATAGTATTATTCAAAGCAACATTTCTGTTGTGTAACTATTGATATTTAAAACAATATTTCTAGAAGTGAAAATAGAAGTGAAAAAAAACCCCTTTCAATGGTAACAAGAAATCACTGCTAAGAGCAGAGCCAGTATATGATTCTGATCATGTGCCGGCCTGATTTCACTAAAATCCTTCCTTAATCACCAACCAGACTGAGGAAAGTGATATAGTGCAGACATTGAAAGAAAAGGTAACCCCATTTAAAAGTACAAAGGACTTTTGAAATGTTGGGTATATATACAGAAAGAAAACCCAATCATATCTGTAAAATAAAATAAACAAAAAATAAATAAACAAATAAAATAAAATAAAATAGTGCAACCAGTGTGGACACAGTTGTCTACACCTGATGTCACTATATACAGGGCACTGGTTCACAGAGCTATCTTAGAACTAGGACTGTCATGATGCACTAAGACTTGTAAAAATGTCGTAGTGCCAAGACCTATTTGTCAAAGAGTGCCCGAGTACAATAAGTCAGTTATTATAAATCTGATTAAAATAGGGACTTTTGCTCCGCTCTGATGGCCCTCTCTCAGGATCTGGGCATACCTTTACGTCGCCACGTGAATACTGAGTAAATGGAGACAGACAAATCAAAACCTCAGCTTTAATTAAAGAAAACCCATAAAGAATCTATACATATGCTTGATAGAACATAAATTCTGGTAATAAATTGCTATGGCACTCAGAAACAAAAATATGATACGGTGCCTAAATAATTTGCAATTGGAAATGAACTATCTTCGGTTGTTTTTTGTCTGAATGCTTTGCTCATTTCTATCAAGAATTTTGAATGTTCCTAAGGAGTTCCCACAGAGTGGTGTCATACCGGAGTGAATAATCTGGTCACTATACAATTATACATTTGTAGCTGCAGGAAACCAGGAGGTAATTGTACCAGAGGCCCACTATGTACAGACACACACACTACTAACATCTAGAGGGGGCAGACACTACAACAGCACAGGAGAGACAGGAGAGACATGCCAATTGGACCATGAGGTGCACCGTGGGTGCACTGCCAGAACAGTCAGCCATTGGACACTATCACTTGGAATCATCAACTCAAACATCTGGACACTATCACTTGGAATCATCAACTCAAAAATCTTAAGAAAATATTTAGACTATCATATAAAATATTTTCAAAAATGAAATATTCATAGATGAAATTAATAACTTTATTGATAACAATGTATGGTATTTTGCATTTAGTAATATCTCGATGTATCTTATAATATTATCAAGATGGATTGAAAATAAAATTAGATTAAACTCCAGATATTGCCTCAGATAAATCTACTCTACTTTAAAATATAAATTCTTAAATACTGATTTGAAATTAGTGTGACTGTCAACAAATTTCCATAGTTCAGCATTGGGTCCACAATAACATGGCTTGGCAAGTCTCCTACAGCAGATGATGACAGGAGAAGACGACATACACAGAAGCAGAAGAAAGAACAGTTACTGTCATGGATGACATAAACATCGGGGAGGGATGACATTCATCTGTTAGTGGTGACGGAATCACTAAAGGTACGACTAACCTTACTGTATACAAAACTGATATGTACCTTTGAATATAATCAGCTCCAGAACATCACATTGGTAGGGTCTACCAAACAGTTAAACTATTCAGAGTCTGTTTAGCACCACAATATAGAAATAGGTACTCATAATCTACTTTCGAGATTACATTAAATTTTCATACAGATATTTCAAAATATCCAATATATTTAAAGTTTAAAAGTCAACAAAAAGGTTAATGAGATGAGCAGTGACATAATCTTAGGTTATGAATTAATAACCATACATTATGAAAAAGGTCATACATATACTTCTAGAGATAATAAATTAAAATGTCCTTACTATGAAAATCATAAACAGAATTCATGGATTTTCATTGCCTACTTATAACAGGAAATACAGAGGTATTAAGGAGCTCAAGACAGCACACCACAAACATTGACTATACAACAGTATATAGGCAGGAAAGGACAGATCACTGCTACAAGACTTTTCAGAAATTCAAATGAGTCATAAAGATGGAATTAAGAGATAATTAATTTGATCATTTTAGAAACAATGTATATCTACTCTTAACTAAAATTATATTTACCCCTGACTGTCATAACTAGGGGCTACCTGGATGAGGAAATTTGTACATTTTTAACTTTACAAGCGACATATAGACATATGTAAAACTGACTTGACATACCCGCACATCTTCAGCTAAGAATAATGAAATGTATTAAAGCTGGTATAGTAGCACCTGAGTGCAATCTAAATCTAGTGCCTGTTCTCCATAGCAAAGCTACTGTCTACGCTGTATGGTGTAAACATGAGGTGAAGGAAGAAGTGCCAGACACAGGGGGCCAGACCAACTGTACCTCCAGACTCGGTTTAAAGAAAGGCCTTCTCTGCTGAACAGGTAAGAGATTCATACCTTCCCATTTCACACCTATGTCCATCTTTATAATGACTGGCTGTCCCAGTTTAACCTGATTACGCTTTGAGCATATCCCTGTGATGTGGAAAGGCGCGCTATAGAAATGGCCTATTATTGTTATATTATTATTACCATAGTGTCTCAAGTATATGTCTGAGGCTCTCATTACCGTAATGTCTATACTTTAAGTTGAGGGGCTCTAATCATAGTAATGTCTTAAATCTAATTCCCTGGCTCTAATTACCGTAATGTCTCAACTTAAATTCAAGGGGCTCTAATTACGGTTGGTAATATCTCATGTTAAATTCTAGCAGCTCTAACAAACCTATATCTCCTGTTCAATGATTCCAGGGGCTGTAATTCCCTTATTTATCAGAACATCAGGTGGATTAACCTACAGAAAAAGAAGCTGACAATCTCTGTTGATCTCTGCCTATCTTGCTCACTCCCAAGGGATCAAGCCAACCTGACTAGTGTAACTGCCTCCTCAAAAAAGTGTAGGAATTTAAGGTGATAAACAGTGAGGTGCCTCACATATCTGCGTATGTATTTAGTTGAGATCTGATGGATCATCAAACATCCCCAAAAGATTTTAGGGTGCTTTACAACTTTTGTACTTCTTTACTACAGACTTAAGGTTTCAGTAAACCCCTTGACCCATGTACGCCAGGAGTAGAATCTAGCGTCTGGACACCAGTCTCGTATTAGATTCTGACTATGCTGATGGAGAGAAGGCCTCTCTAAACATTGTCGGTTGGTCAGCCGGGAATCTGTGTCTGGCAGGTGAGAGTTGGATGACATAAGCTGACACATAGGAAACAGTTCACCAGGAGAGAGATAACGTTTACCTAGTCCTCTATAAGATTTGTTTGAGATATTGTCAATTTGCCAGAGCGCTTTGTAAAAGATATGGACATTTTGTCACTGTCTTCTTGTTCCTCCTATGGTGTAGATGGCAGCAGAGAAAGGAAAACATTGCATATTAAAATATATATGTATTAAAAAGGAATAAACTGAGATATAGATCTAATTTGAAACAAAAGATTGTTGTTTTAACTGATTGTCGTGAGAAATTAGGATCATCTATCATCCATGTGTAATTGACATACTCAGACTTTAGGTCAACTTTTGATATCTGCAGAAAATGTTTATCCTTAAAACTGTTCCTCTTCATCAAACCAGTTTCTACATGCCACTTCAAGAAGAAATTCTGATAATACTCAGTGACGCTACTTTTAATCACTTTGTCTATGTTTCATGGAAAGTATCATATTTGAACTTTGAATATGCTAAGTTATATATGCTATACATCAGCGTGCCATTCCGAGATTTAGCAATCGTAGTGCTGTAAGAGTTGTAAGTCAATGTTAAGCATGGCAGTTACGATTATCTGTTCGCCAGATAACTTTGTGGTTCTGCTGATTATCGCATGATATATCTGGTACATGTAAGATGAACATTACTTGTTATATAATATCATATACCGGTAGATAGATTCCAACATTGCAAACATTCCGGCAGTGTGTACGAGTGTGAACTGCAGCACGTACCTCCATCTCGGCGGGCTGCACCTTGAATGTGTCGTGCCACACCCTTAGGCAGATGTCGGGCAGGAGGGCTGTCACACACAACAGCAGGATGGCCAACCATGCCGTGCCACACGCTAACAGCGTCGTGAACACCTGTAGGAGATATGGGTGGTCCATGGCCCATGATCTGAAACACAGTAAAACAAGATGTTCTAACAACTTAATTTACAAACCTGGACCCTCACAAACAAAACGTTCATGGAGCTACAAATGATAAACGTTTCATGTCGTAAAGTCTCATGGATTGGGACCCAGATTCCCATATATTAAAGTATGAAAGAAAAATGAAAATGAAAAACAAAGTTTTATTCATTACTACTAGAAAAAGCAAAATGTTAAAAAAACAACACACACATTTATTGTCACTTTCGATGTCAATAAATTATTTGCAATAGTATAAGTAAATCCCGTTGAAGGTGTACTAGTATTTCAGTAATATTTCAGGTTATAACTGGTTCATGCATATCTCAGTAAGAGACTATGGTGCATGCCTGGTGTCTTGATGATGCTCTGACAGGTCTGTTTGAGACTCACCGACCACCATCCGAGAGCTTGAATACTGCTGAAAGTGGCACCAAACATCCTACCACCAGAACTACATTTAGTCTGCAAGCAACAAATTCTCACCAAACTGAGGTTTGGTGGCAGAGTGGGTAAAACATTCACTGATCACACCAAAGACCCGGGTTCGATTTCCCACATGGGTAAAATGTGTTAAGCCCATTTCTGGTGGGCAATATGTGATATTGTTGGAATATTGCTAAAACCACACTCCCTCTCTGCTCAATGCTATGAATACTTACGGCCAAAACACAAAGTTGTACACGATGACTACGAGGAAGAATCCAGCGAAAGTGATTCCAAAAGACAGCATGATGGGAACTGACCAGCAGTACGTCTCAAGGGCCAACTGAAGTAGACATCAGTAGTCTCACATCACAGAACACTACACCACCCCTCTCCTGACATTGTTACTCCGAACAGGTAAACAACTCCACGACCTCTAATTCTCTTTCTCCATAAACTTGGTTCATTATGTACACATTTCCACTATAAGCTACACTACAAAATAGATTGCCATATCCTTTAATTCAGTATCAGCGTGTTCATCATAAACATAGTTTACTCTGTATCAATCACTTTAAGAATGACAAATAATAAAGGGATTATGTCCCTGGTGTGTTTCCATAGCATACATATCAAGTATTTTGGATAAAACAAGTAGTATGTTCACCAAAGGTTCCCACAATACAATGTTTAACATACAGCAAGACGCTGAGAGAATACGGAAGGATAACAATATATGGGTGAGTGAGTTAATATTTAACGTCACATCGGCAATATTAACAATATATGGAGAGAAATAAAGAAGTTGTTCATCCATATATTGTCATCCTTCCTTAGTGCCCCAACTCCTGAATGCCTCTCAAAGAAGCTGAGAGATGAATGTGTTGATTACCTTGATATTGACAATAAACACACAGCACAGCACCATGACCGACCCGTAACTCCATATCCCCATACTCTGAAATGAAAACACAGCATGACGTGTTGCAGGGCCTCAATATTAAAGTAATATTCGTGATGGGTACACATTGCTAGTGTGACCTACAACAGATACTGATTACTATGGGCTGACACCTACCTTTCCTGAAGGCCACAGCGATACATCGTTGTTGAACAGAAGGTAGGTCCCGAAGAATATTACAACACTCTGCCAGAGTCCTACAACAAGAACAACAAGTATGCTGGGGCTCTGGTGGGTAGTGCAAGATGTATACATATTTTTTGTATTTTATTTTACATATATATTTTATAGTTATAGATGTACAAAACTGTTTGTCCATCGTCTGTTCACTGAGTCCGATCAACAGGGAACCAATTTAATCCCTGCTTACAAGTAACGGTTATGTGTTGTCAACTAATTCTGTCCCAGAATCACAGGGATCCTATTTAGTCCCTGCTTACAAGTAACAGTGGGGTGTTGTCAACTAATTCTGTCCCAGAATCACAGGGATCCTATTTAGTCCCTGCTTACAAGTAACAGTGGGGTGTTGTCAACTAATTCTGTCCCAGAATCACAGGGAACCAATTTAATCCCTGCTTACAAGTAACAGTGGGGTGTTGTCAACTCATTCTGTCCCAGAATCACAGGGAACCAATTTAATCCCTGCTTACAAGTAACAGTTATGTGTTGTCAACTAATTCTGTCCCAGAATCACAGGGATCCAATTTAGTCCCTGCTTACAAGTAACAGTGACGAGTTGTGAACTCATTCTGTCCCAGAATCACAGGGATCCAATTTAGTCCCTGCTTACAAGTAACAGTTATGTGTTGTCAACTAATTCTGTCCCAGAATCACAGGGATCCTATTTAGTCCCTGCTTACAATTAACAGTGACGAGTTGTGAACTCATTCTGTCCCAGAATCACAGGGATCCAATTTAGTCCCTGCTTACAAGTAACAGTTATGTGTTGTCAACTAATTCTATCCCAGAATCACAGGGATCCAATTTAGTCCCTGCTTACAATTAACAGTGACGAGTTGTGAACTCATTCTGTCCCAGAATCACAGGGATCCTATTTAGTCCCTGCTTACAAGTAACAGTTATGTGTTGTGAACTCATTCTGTCCCAGAATCACAGGTATCCAATTTAGTCCCTGCTTACAATTAACAGTGACGAGTTGTGAACTCATTCTGTCCCAGAATCACAGGTATCCAATTTAGTCCCTGCTTACAAGTAACAGTTATGTGTTGTGAACTAATTCTGTCCCAGAATCACAGGGATCAAATTTTGTATATGTAATACTTACCTAAACTATTCCACAACAGAAAGCGTCTCCAAGATAACTTTCTGTTTCTGGTAATCCTTCTGCAACACAAATATAAAGAAATAATGACAAAAGTTATGTGTGTTCAATGTCTTTTGTCACATTTATTTGTATTTTTTGTGTACTTTTCTCAATAAAATCAGCTCATAATGTTCGGCACTGCTAACCAAACATCTGAGGAAATCCTACAACACGACTCAAAGCAAACTGTTTTCAGAGAAATATTTAGAGATTGTGAGAAGCATAAGACTGACAGGGAGTTTAGTTTTACGCAGGCAATTACAGAAATGTGAAATGGGCTTCCACATTGAAGGTTGTCCAAGTATCACACTATACTTAACCACTAGGCTAAGGAATCAAACCCAGGTCAGAAATGTCCAGTGAAGGTTGTCATTTTCACACACTAGGAATCAAACACACTGACTTGTCATTTTCTAGGCCAACACACTGACTGACAGACAACTTCTGCTAAGTTAGTATTTGCAGTGGCTAGGCTGGGTAGCCAAGTGGTTAAAGAGTTCGCTCTTCAAGCCAAAGACCTGGGTTCCATTCCCCACATGGGTACAATGTGTGAAGCCCATTTCTGGTGTCCTGTCATATTGCTGGAACATTGCTAAAAGAATCGTAAAACCATACTCACTCACTAGTATTTGCAGTGTAACTGACCTGTACAGTTCTGGCCTATTGAGCAATGTGTCCTGAGAGAGGTGCTTCTCGAAGAGTCCGTAGATGAGAATAGGTAAAGATGTGAATGTGATGTTATACAACAGAAGGTACAAGGCTTCGTACACCGGCTGAAACAAGGCAAATATGTCCAAGTTACATCATTCAGTACTTTCCGTAGAGAGAAATGCAGAGAAACATACACCAGTGATCACCAGATTACCAGGGCTAAAGTATGGATCTCTGCACTGTAAGTTAGGTTTTGGACAAACTGGACATAATGTGACCACATATGCTTGTTTCACTTTGAAGTCTGAACATAAACAAGTCATTAATAATCAAGGCAGTAATAGCAGAAGCAGCAGTAGTTAGTTTCTAATGTAGGCAATGAGACATCTGTTATTTTGACAATCAGTAACATATGCTGGCTCACCTGTTCTGAGAAGGCTGAGAAGAATGTGTAATACAGCTGGCACGTGATGAAGGCTATATTCTGAAACAAAACCAAGTAGAGTTAGGAGTGAGTGAGTGAGTATGTTTAGTTTTACGCCGCACTCAGTAATATTCCAGCAGTCTGTAAATAACTGAGTCTGGACCAGACAATCCAGTGATCAACAGCATGAGCATTGATCTACGTAATTGGGATACGATGACATGTGTCAACCAAGTCAGCGAGCCTGACCACCCGATCCCGTTAGTCGCCATGTACGACAAGCATGGGTTACTGAAGATTAATATTCTAACCCGGACCGTCACGGGTCTTACACCTTGGAACACTTTGCTAATGCATAAAGCTTACCTTGGGAGATACATGTGCATGTGTGTACTCTTAAATGCATGAAGCTCTAGCACTTATCTTGGACTTACATTAAACTTTGAAACAATTTGTTCATGCACGCAGTTTGTTTTATGAAGGATTTCCATTTACACCTGGAAACAAAAGAGCAGCTTGTCAACAATGTACAAAGGACAATAACTTACTTTATAAAAGAAATACTGTACAAGGGTGGCGATACGAACGTAGAAGTAGTGCCCATGGATGAGGAAGGCTCGCATCAGGAACTTGAACTTGGCGAAGGCATAGTCAGAACTCCGCACTGCTTGTCTCCCTTCCTTTCCCATAATTCCTGCAACAGGAAGTGATCAGATTCATAAACAGATTCATATTCACTTTTCCAAGCATCAAATCAAACATAAACACTTCATCTTAGTGAAGTCATCAAAGGTTATTCAGTCAGCTGTGACCATGCATATGACATGAGGATCATCAAGATTGACTCGGAACTCGGCCACGTTAGATTGCAGCAAACAGGATACGGTCCACCATTTTGGTAGAAGTGCACAAGCTCCTTTCTAACAGTATGTAATCCTATCAACAAATGGCTGATGCTATGACTATCTTACCAATGCCGACATCAGCTTCTTGAATCATGCTGACATCGTTTGCTCCGTCACCGATGGCAGCCGTCACAGGTTTAGTGGGAGACATCTTGATCATCCGCACGACCTGATACAACAATACATATCCCATATTTAAGGATGCTCAATTCTGATTGTCTATGATAAGGTATTACATTTCAATTAATCCTTTTTGCAAAGAATACCCCCAAAACAAAACAAAACCATGGTGTGAATACATTGACGGCCAAAATATCCATTCATTACAAAAGGCTACTTACAACCAATATAAACTGAAACTGTAAATAATTACAAATCATTAATGGATGTTTTTGGTGATCATTTTGACATCTCAGGCCTTAAAAGTGACAGGTGGGACAATAGGTTTGATGTGATGACTACACTTAATGAAGGTATAGCGTTTGCATGACAATGATAATGTATATAAAACATAGAGAGAGTTTGTGTGTGAGATACCTGTGCCTTCTGTATGGGCGACATCCTACAGCAGAGTACGGCTACACAGTGTAGACACAGCTCCATCAGGATCCCCTCCAGCTCCGTAATCATCACAGACAGACTCTGGCCGTCGATGATCAGCACGTACTGCTGGTCCGGGACACTTTCAATCCTGTAATACAGGCAAACACCTCAGTCAACAGGTCAGAGTTATCTCTCAATCCTGTAATACAGGCAAACACCTCAGTCAGCAGGTCAGAGTTATCTCTCAATCCTGTAATACAGACAAACACCTCAGTCAGCAGGTCAGAGTTATCTCTCAATCCTGTAATTCAGGCAAACACCTCAGTCAGCAGGTCAACGTTATCTCTCAATCCTGTAATACAGACAAACACCTCAGTCAGCAGGTCAGAGTTATCTCTCAATCCTGTAATTCAGGCAAACACCTCAGTCAGCAGGTCAGAGTTATGTCTCAATCCTGTAATACAGGCAAACACCTCAGTCAGGAGGTCAACGTTATCTCTCAATCCTGTAATACAGACAAACACCTCAGTCAGCAGGTCAGAGTTATCTCTCAATCCTGTAATTCAGGCAAACACCTCAGTCAACAGGTCAGAGTTATCTCTCAATCCTGTAATACAGACAAACACCTCAGTCAGCAGGTCAGAGTTATCTCTCAATCCTGTAATTCAGGCAAACACCTCAGTCAGCAGGTCAGAGTTATCTCTCAATCCTGTAATACAGACAAACACCTCAGTCAGCAGGTCAGAGTTATCTCTCAATCCTGTAATTCAGGCAAACACCTCAGTCAGCAGGTCAGAGTTATGTCTCAATCCTGTAATACAGGCAAACACCTCAGTCAGGAGGTCAACGTTATCTCTCAATCCTGTAATACAGACAAACACCTCAGTCAGCAGGTCAGAGTTATCTCTCAATCCTGTAATACAGACAAACACCTCAGTCAGCAGGTCAGAGTTATCTCTCAATCCTGTAATTCAGGCAAACACCTCAGTCAGCAGGTCAGAGTTATCTCTCAATCCTGTAATACAGGCAAACACCTCAGTCAGGAGGTCAACGTTATCTCTCAATCCTGTAATACAGACAAACACCTCAGTCAGCAGGTCAGAGTTATCTCTCAATCCTGTAATACAGGCAAACACCTCAGTCAGCAGGTCAGAGTTATCTCTCAATCCTGTAATACAGGCAAACACCTCAGTCAGCAGGTCAGAGTTATCTCTCAATCCTGTAATTCAGGCAAACACCTCAGTCAGCAGGTCAGAGTTATGTCTCAATCCTGTAATACAGGCAAACACCTCAGTCAGGAGGTCAACGTTATCTCTCAATCCTGTAATACAGACAAACACCTCAGTCAGCAGGTCAGAGTTATCTCTCAATCCTGTAATTCAGGCAAACACCTCAGTCAGCAGGTCAGAGTTATCTCTCAATCCTGTAATACAGACAAACACCTCAGTCAGGAGGTCAGAGTTGTCTCTCAATCCTGTAATACAGGCAAACACCTCAGTCAGGAGGTCAGTTATCTCTCAATCCTGTAAGTCAGGCAAACACCTCCGTTTGCTGCCTGTTAGTTCAGTAATGCATGTTGGAATGACAGGAAAAGGGAAGCCGAGTAGGTCTGCCATTAGTTATTACTGTTTGAGGAGAAGGGAGGAAACTCTAATTCCCTCTAAACACCATGTTGTCACAGTGGCAAACATATATTCCAAGGTGAAGTGAGATGGTTTTCGACTGCAATATATATTTCAAAGAGCTGTCATTAGACGTTCCATATCCATTTTGAGGACTTTGGAAACTAGGCGCATTTGTGAGGGCATTAAAGTGTGTTGTCATTCCTTAATAGTAAATTGAAAGGGAGAATAGACACAGAACTGATTCCTCAAGTTCCCATTGCTGAAAGCTACATTTGTGTTGTTTTTCTTTTACACTAAACCTTTTTGATTGAAGTGGAGGAGAAAAATAATTTAAAAATAAATAAATTTCTTTTTGCAAAGCATTTCCCCACCTATATAAATCTGTAAAGTATGATAAAAAGAAGTGTACTCTTACTTTTGTATCTTACTATTATTAAAACCATAAGCGATTTTGAATGTCACAGTCTCACTGGACAAGTACCTCTAGCAGGCTTTACTGTCGCATCTGACTCTGTGAGTAATGTAATAACTCAGTGGGAAGTTTTACTGCCATGACATGACAGTGTATATATAACCAACTGGGTCAGGCGAACTAGTCAGTGGCAGCATGGGCACGGTCAGCTAGGCTGGGATGCAATCATCAAAGGTGAAGTGAGTGAATGGGTGAGTGAGTTTAGTTTTACGATGCTTTTAGAAATGGTCCAGCAATATCACAGCAGGGGGCATCAGGAATGGGCTTCACACATTGTACCTATGTGGGGAATCGAACCCAGTCCTTGGCGTGACAAGCGAACACTTTAACCACCAGGCTAGGTGATGGATGTGACTTACTGTCTCCTGTAGTGTTGTATCTTCAGTCTGCAGTCCTCACTCTTCGTCATCTTGGTCAGCTCCAACTCATTCATCTGAGCCTGGAAGTGACCTGCGGAGTGGCTGATGTTGACTGCTGTTTCCTGCTTGTCCCCCGTCAACACCCACACCTGTGTAACCATGGCAACACAACTATAGGTCACTCTACAACCATAAGATGTCACATAAATGAAATATTATGATTCTGTACTGAAATCATTTAATATCAGTTTACTTGACCATGAATGCGAAGACTCTGTTAAACAGTGCTATATTATCTGAACTATTACCCTGATTCTGAGCCAAGAAGAGAAAATCAAGTAAAAAAGCTTGATGCATATGGAGGTCACCTTAATGCCTGCCCTACGGAGAGACTGGATGGTCCGGGGGACGTCCTCCTGCAGCTTGTCCTCCACAGCTGTAGCGCCCAGCAGTTGGAAGTCCTGCTCAATCAGGTCGAACACTCTGTCCAGCTTTAGGATACAAACAAAGCACCTGTAGAAAGGGACTCAACACTAGGAGACAGGCCTATAGAACTAATACTCATTATTTTCAAAATATTATTTTTGTGCTAATTGCCATTTTCAGCAATATTTCAGTTTTGTAACGGTAGCCTGTTTTTGATATCATCTGGACCCGACAATCCTGTTATTGATATCATGGGTATGATGACACACACACACCAATCAAGGCACTGAGTCAGGGCCCTGTTTCAGAAAGCTATCGTAACACTACAACTATCGTAAGTCTACATTACACTATAGGAGGTATGACAGTCGTAGCGCTACGATATATTTGTGAAATGGGGCCCGGAATGGTTGCATTAATTACACTGACTGATTGAGTTTGGTTTTACGCCGCTTTTAGCAATATTCCAGCAACATCACGGCGGGGAACACCAGAAATGGGCTTCACACATTGTACCCATGTGGGGATTCGAACCCGGGTCTTCGGCGTGACGAGCCAACGCTTTAACAACTAGGCTACCCCACCGCCCCACATCAGTCACAACCAACATAGGTTGCCGGAGATGAATTTTAAGATAGGGTCCCATTCTCTCGTGGTTTGGCTGACCCTAGGACTTCTCTTCCATCCCATCCGAGCTTGTCATTACAAATTCCAACTCACTTTCTCTTCTCTGTTTTGAAGAGCTGTCCTAGCTTCATGGAGTTTTTCTTCAAAGACTTTGTATTCCTCCTCAGAAAGATCTCGTTTAACAACTGCAAGGGTTCTCAAACCAAGCTGAAAAAATAATTAGGGAATTTATTTCCTTAGCATCAAGACATTCTTCATTTTATGATGACAGCCGAGACAATAACACATTATCGAAAAATCCCTAATGGAGCAAGTCTATGTTTCCTCGCCTTCTGAATGCCCCAGCTCACTGGGGCTCCTTGTCAATTTAAATGGAATTATTTATATCAGGAATATTATACGTCTTCAGAGACTACACGTTAGTCTTTCTGCCACTGTTGTTTTAAGCTGAACTTTTTGCATCCACAACACTGGTTAGTTCTGTGTATGAACGAAGAAAGTAGCAAGCCCTGGTGCCAATCAAATATTGTCAACTCATGCTGATATATGTCATGTCATCTCCAATACGTCACTGAATACAATCTCTGGCTGACATTATTTTGAAAGACTGCTTTCACACAGCCATTCAAGAAAATGAGACAGAGAAAACTTTTGATGGTCAGTCCATGATGATATATAACTAAAACAAACATGTTTGAACAACTACGTAATCAGCTTACCACAGCATATTCATTCACATGCTTCTGTGCAATGTCTTTCTCCCCGATCTTCACCCGATCCAATATGGCGGACTCCGCTCCCTTGCACAGTAATACTATTTTATCTACAAAAAACAGATGAGCGAACATCACGGCATTCATTCGAAACTCATTTGCTGAGTGTAAATATGTCTGACAAAGGGGAATACATTGTAGTATGTATGCTCTCTGCTGTCAGTGTTCATGGATTCTGACAGGCAGTGGGGTAGCTTTGTGGTTTAGGTGTTTGGTCGTCACGCCAAAGACCCGGGTTCGATTCCCTACATGGACACTATGTGTGAAGCCCATTTCTGGTGTCCCAAGCCGTGATATTACTGGAATATTGCTAAATGTGGCGTAAAACCCAACTCACTCACTCATGGACTCAGAGATGGAAATCTGACATTTTGTGTCACAAGACATTTACTTTAACTTTACAAATATACATTTACAGGCAGCTGGGACAGCAGGATAATGCAAACTTCAAAGTAAATCAGCATTCTTTTCATGCCCTTCTAGTCAATGGACACTGACCAAGATGAAGATGAAGAGTTCGGAAAAAGGTGATATACACTACCCAAGTCACAAAAACACGTCAAGTCAATCCACATAATTTGATTGGCTAAACAAACACTATATTTCATTAATTCTTCCAGAAATATATATACCTTGTTCACTCTGGAGGATCACACTCATTCTTTTGCGGGTTGGATCAAAATCTAAAACTTGTAAAACCCTGTAACGCCTCATTTCCTTATTTAACGTGATTTCCATGCAGTCGTCATGGATACCATGGTAGATAATACCGTGTCTGAAACAAACACATGTAAACTGTTGAAATTACTTTTTATAACATATATATGCTAAGTGTGTGACATGGGAAAAAAATTAAAAAACAACTTCAACAAAGAACTAGCTGTCAAGATGAATCTGAATGCAGATCTTCAGTCTCTCTGACATGTTAGTTCCGCTTTTGATTCATTTCTGCAATTGAGAGTTTGCAAACACGGAATTCTGTTGTGTTGCTGAATCTTGTCATACACAGACTTTACAACACTTATAGTAGTTTTTAAATTAAATTGACCCGTGCAGGTCCGGGTTAGAATAATGATCTTCAGTAACCCATGCTTGTCGTAAGAGGCGACTAACGGGATCGGGTGGTCAGGCTCGCTGGCTTGGTTGACACATGTCATCGGTTCCCAATTGCACAGATCGATGCTCATGCTGTTGATCACTGGATTGTCTGGTCCAGACTCGCTTATTTACAGACCGCCGTCATACAGCTGGAATATTGCTGAGTGGGGCGTAAAAATAAACTCACTCACTCACTCGTTTAAATTAAATGAAAGCAGTATTACTTGACATTTTACGTTAATGTTTTACAATAAAAATTAGAGTGTTCCTATGTTTATGATGGTATTTTTTCTAGTTGTTTACACTTAACCACAGGGGCTTAAACGCTAAAAACTGCCATCAAGGTATATACTGTCATTGACAAGGTCTTAGTACTATATAAAAGGAGAGTTCGTACTAAGACCCCGAGTGACAGTATATACCTTGATGGCAGTTTTTAGAGTTACAAGCCTCTGTACACTTAACAGTATACACTATCAGTACTATTTATAATAGCTGTACATTTTTCATCTCAGCACACTCTCTAAAACCTTACCTCACACTTGTGAGTTAAGTTCAACCAAATGCACAGTAACCTTCTCTGTCTTTGATAGTCAAAACACATTATGACAACCTGACAAAGGTTACATCTTCTCACCTGCTGCAGGCTTCTACAAAAGCCTTCTCATCAGGAGATGATGCCTGATACAGGTATTCATCCCCGGTGTCGCTATACATGCTGGAAGCAGCCCCGCCCTCCACGTCTACCCCGGACCCCGCCTTGCGGTCAACTCGTACTGTGTGACATAAAGCCAGCACCATGAAGAACTCCTCCACCTCTCCCTGAAATACGGAAGTCATGACAACGACATTAGAATCTTTGTCGAAACGTCGCCTATACAGAATAAAGAAGTTGTATGTCCATAAAAATTGTAATTATTCAACATTAATGAGTGAGTGAGTGAGTTTTACGCTGCTTTTGGTAATATTCTAGAAATATCATGGCAGGGGACACCAGAAATGGGCTTCACACATTGTACCCATGTGGGGAATCAAACGCCAGTCTTCAGAAAACACTTTAACCACTAGGCTACCCCACCACCATGACAAGATAAATAATGATAATAAAAAAAAAAGTCATAAAAATACTAGAATCAAATGGCCCTTAACTTCTTTTGAGTGGTATATGGTATTAAAACACCTGACAGCTTGACCTAGATTCTATATTCAAGGCAGCAATGGTGCAGACAAAACATCCATCATTCACCAGAAATAAGAAGATGAATACACAGCAAGGGTTCACCACAGTAGAGTGGCAACTTACTGAAAGACTATGGATGACTTGAGGTTGTCCGTCTTGACTCCGGTGATAAAGCTGACCTCCGACCTCTTCATACTGGACACCATTAATAGAACATTGCCGAAACTGCATGTAGTTCTCCGTGAGAGTCCCTGTCTTGTCTGTGAACAAGAACTCCACCTGGTGAACAAAAGAAGAACAAAAGGAGTAAGTTACGATCACCATGATCGACTGTTTACTGTTAAACATTTTTTTATTTCTAAAGTCATTTCAGATTGTTAAGAAACAGTATATTTTACAACTTTACAATACATGATGATCAATGGTAGAACATTGATTTAGCGTTGGAAACAGATCCATGGTTGCAGCAAGATCAATGGTAGAACATTGATTTAGCGTTGGAAACAGATCCATGGTTGCAGCAAGATCAATGGTAGAACATTGATCTATCATTCAAACAGAACCGTGGTTGGAATGAGATCAGTGATGGAACATAGATCCATTGTTGGTCACAGATCTACCAAGATCAGTGGTAGAACATTGATCTATCATTCAAACAGATCCGTGGTTGGGATGAGATCAGTGGTGGAACATAGATCCATTGTTGGTCACAGATCTACCCAGATCAATGGGTGCAACACAGATTCTAAGTAAGGCTTAGATTTACTTTAGAACTGCAAGGAAAGAACTTGCTCCTTATTCACATAAAATATTTGAGACAAGTGGATGTAATACCGTATGGATTCTCAAATACTCAAAGATTTTGCTTGACTTATTACAGTCTCAGAAAAGAACCAAGTTCATTTAGATCACAACATTTCGACTTTTTTCTACTTTGAACACCATTGTTCCACAAGACAAACGTAACAGAAGCAATTCATTCACTGATCCATGGAGAAAATAAAACATGACATGATGCATGTCCTCGTTAATAACATCTTTGTAAAAAATGAGGGTAAGACTTTTCAGACAAGAAGACACTTTAGAACTGAAATTTCTACAGTAAGATTAAGATCAACAACAAACTCTGAGAACTGTAACATATTTCCTATACAGTATGAAGGGGCACTGACTTACTTACCTGGCCTAATTCTTCGTTAAGATCAGAGGTGTTAGCTTTTGCTGGCTCATTCGTAGCTTCGTCATACATCAACATGTCCCAGCCAAAATACATGGACCCAACAAACTTCTGGACTTCTGTAATACAGAGACATCAAGAGGGTAATAATGGAGAGTGAGTGAGTGAGTGAGTGAATGAGTGAGTTGATTTTCCAACACAGAATGTATTTTTTTTAAATCTTAATAATGCAGTTATGGTAGAATGGAGATAAACATACAGTGTTGGAAAATCAGAGGTATATACGAAAATTATAATAGCTCTTAATTTTGTACTGACTGACTGACTGAGTTTAGTTTTACGCCGCTTTTAGCAATATTCCAGCAATATCACGGCGGGGGACACCAGAAATGGGCTTAACACATTGTGCCCATGTGGGGAATCGAACCCGGGTCTTCGGCGTGACGAGCCAACGCTTTAACCACTAGGCTACCCCACCGCCCCTCTTAATTTTGTATTTAAATCCTCACGCTATGCTATTATGATTTCGTTATATACCTCTGATTTTCCAACACAGTATGTTTATCTCCTAATTAGAGAAAGCGCCCACTTTAAACAGGCTGTTGAATCTATGCCAATGTTGTTTAGAGCAGCTTGTGACAACACCAAGAACAGACATTGCACTTTGTTGCAAAAATATTTTGATCCACAATCTGCACATGGTATTACCTCCCGCCTCCCATGATTTGATCAATCTTAAGGAAGTGATGGATATCAAATTATGTGTCAAATAGGGTTTAACACCTTGTTCAAAGTAACTGCACTTACAAAGTTGACATGCAAGAATATGTGTATTGGCTGCTTAAACTACTCAGGAAAAATGCTGGTTCTATTGTGCTCGCCATCTCAGATACCATGCCTCATGTTAATAAGGAAACCCTTCACAACTTCAAGCTTACCAGTCACTTTTATCCCTAAAATGCCGAGCATCATGATGGTAGAAATATATATACCATCTCTTAGTATGACACAGCCTGTGATCAAACCACCTAGCTTCCCCTCTCTGACAGGTGCTCTATCAACTAGGATAGAGAGGTGTTCGATAAACACACAAAACTGACATAAATACACAAACTGACAACCACAAGCATCATCCTGATTCATGATGAATTGCACAGCCAATTTTCTAACATGGCACACAAGTTGACATATTGAAAATTCAGTAAAGAATATCGCAAATTGCTTTAGCACACTAAATTATTAAAGCTTGATGTGACATGTACACCACTCTGTCACAAAAACAACCCAGAATAGCAAGGAATGCTGAGCAAAGTCTCTGAGGAACAGTCTCCATGGCGATTTGGCCTCACATTCCCAAGAACCAAGAAATGCATCCTCTTTAATATTTAATAATACCATACTATTTGTCAAAGAGAAAACAACCAGATCTTTCAATCTGCATCTACAGTCGGTGACAATTCCCTTATTCCAGATTTCATATTTCCATATTCATGTTGATAAAGTTCTAACAAATGCCATGGATAATTAAAAAGAACTTTTCACAGATAAAGGCCAATATAGAGGAAGAGACTTTCACGCTTATTTTCACATTATTGAATTTAATGCAATTCTAAAATACCTCAGGAATAAAGAAATTAATTAAAAAATAAAATAAATTCACCGATTTGCCTGACAAGGACTCATATCTTGGAATCCCAGGTAAATAAGGAGACAAGATTATCAATAATTTCCCACACCTTTGCATATGTACAAAACATCACGCAATGAAGCCTATGTGTCCTAGAACTGAAGACACCAATCAAATTAGTGTCAATGGACCTGAAATTTCTGAGCACATTTAATGTAAACAAACCCTTCTAAAATAAAGAAAGAAAGAGAATTGTGTTTGTTAATAGAAGACACCTTCCCTCAATGATTTGTTGCCATGGAAAGGCCTTAGTGCAGCACTCTCCTAAAGTATATTTTGTGTTTCATGGAAACGCAATGAAAAATGCATGTGTGTGTTATAGGAGAGAGGAAGAATTTCTTACCAATAGTGACATAGAGTGATATAGGTACAATGTAGTTTAACAGCACCATGAAAGCAAGGAAATCTTCTATCACATGCATTGCCTGAAAAGAAAAAGGAAAGTACAGAGGCTGAAACTTCAAGATCCACCTCAACACGCAATTATAAACATTACACACCACTAAGGTGCAATTATAAACATTAAACACCACTAAGGTGCAATTATAAACATTACACACCACTAAGGTGCAGTTATAAACATTACACACCACTAAGGTGCAATTATAAACATTACACACCACTAAGGTGCAATTATAAACATTACACACCACTCAGGTGCAATTATAAACATTACACACCACTCAGGTGCAATTATAAACATTACACACCACTCAGGTGCAATTATAAACATTACACACCACTAAGGTGCAATTATAAACATTACACACCACTAAGGTGCAATTATAAACATTACACACCACTAAGGTGCAATTATAAACATTACACACCACTAAGGTGCAATTATAAACATTACACACCACTCAGGTGCAATTATAAAAACATTACACACCACTATAGTGCCAATTATACTAAACATTACACAATTATAGTATTACACACCACTAAGGTGCAATTATAGTACTAAACATTACACACCACTAAGGTGCAATTATAGTACTAAACATTACACACCACTAAGGTGCAATTATAGTACTAAACATTACACACCACTAAGGTGCAATTATAGTACTAAACATTACACACCACTAAGGCTCAATTATAGTACTAAACATTACACACCACTAAGGTGAGGTGCAATGAACTGCATAGTTTGCTAATGATCAATTCAGCTGTACTGCTCTAAACATGGTACGTAAAATGGTAGATGTACTGCTCTAAACATGGTACGTAACGGTAGGTGTACTGCTCTAAACATGGTACATAATGGTAGATGTACTGCTCTAAACATGGTACATATTGGTAGATGTACTGCTCTAAACATGGTACATAATGGTAGATGTACTGCTCTAAACATGGTACATAATGGTAGATGTACTGCTCTAAACATGGTACGTAATGATAGGTGTACTGCTCTAAACATGGTACATAATGGTAGATGTACTGCTCTAAACATGGTACGTAATGGTAGATGTACTGCTCTAAACATGGTACGTAATGGTAGATGTATTGCTCTAAACATTGTACGTAATGGCAGATGTACTGCTCTAAACATGGTATGTAATGATAGGTGTACTGCTCTAAACATGGTACATAATGGTAGATGTACTGCTCTCAACATGGTACGTAATGGTAGATGTATTGCTCTAAACATGGTACGTAATGGTAGGTGTACTGCTCTAAACATGGTACATAATGGCAGATGTACTTCTCAAAGTAGGCTATGTAACTCTACTGCTCTAAGTATATTAGTGTACTCACAGTGGGGTCATCCTTCCTTGGGGGGATGTACCAGGCCAGGGGGTACGTGGCTGTGTACCAATACTTGAGGCCAGTCAACAGTATACACTCAAACAACAGAACAAGTAGGAACACTATCAGAAACGTGTTCATCGCCCTGAAACAAACACAAATGCCCCAGTAAGTATTTATCATAACTGGACACAAGACCTTGCTGTACCGGTATATTACAGCTATCCGTGTGTGTGTGTGTGCACTCAAAAGTATTCTAGCTATTTAATGGTGGCATGCTTTTAGTCATGTCTGGATTCGACAATCCCCTGAATAAATGAATATTGTAAGCAAAGTCAGGCTATTATGACATGCAATCAACTCAGAATGACCCAATCCTTCTGGTCACCACTTTACATATTTACAGTGTGCACAACTTCTTGTACGTTCACACTGAAATCAATTAAAACATATTGAAGCAGGGCTTCATGAGATGACGTACCTTTCTACTCTGGAGAATTTGGCTTGTTTGAACTTGGAATTGAGGGCCATCTTAGTCTCCTGGCCTGTATATATTGCACAACCTGAAACAGACAACATCAGTTGTACATTGTGGATAGGATGTTACCGGTAAATGTTTGCAGCTACTACACAACAAACATGTTCGTTTACAACCCTATTACTCACAACCACCTTCTATGAACGGTATCAACCATTTCATCATAGAAATGCATGATTGAACATGGTAGGTGATCGTGGGTTTGATCATATTGGCCCAGATCAGATGTGAGGTCTGTCACTCTGAACCAATGCTGTAGTTTTCATCCAAGAGACAAAATCAGCACCACTATTGACTCTCCTTCCACATCCATTTGACCTGCTGTGACATAACTACTGTTCACAACAGAGTAAAACCCTATATACAAAATATATTTAATCTAATTTTAAATAACCATACATTCATCCAACCACCCATCCATCTGTCCATCCATCCACTCATACACCCATCCATCCACCTGACCACTAACCAGTTCATCCATCCATCTATCCATTCATCCACCTGACTATAACCCATCCATCCATCCGACCATACCCCCCCCCCCATCCATCCATGCACTAATCCATCAACCTGACCACTAATCCATCCACCCACTCATGCACTAATCCGTCCACCTGACAACTAACCCATCCACCCACTCATGCACTAACCCATCCACCCGCTCATGCACTAATCCATCCACCTGACCACTAACCCATCCACCCACTCATGCACTAATCCATCCACCCGCTCATGCACTAATCCATCCACCTGACCACTAACCCATCCACCCACTCATGCACTAACCCATCCACCTGACCACTAACCCATCCACCCACTCATGCACTAACCCATTCACCCACTCATGCACTAACCCATCCACCCACTCATGCACTAATCCATCCACCTGACCACTAACCCATCCACCCACTCATGCACTAATCCATCCACCCGCTCATGCACTAATCCATCCACCTGACCACTAACCCATTCACCCACTCATGCACTAACCCATCCACCCGCTTATGCACTAATCCATGCACCTGACCACTAACCCATCCACCCACTCATGCACTAACCCATCCACCCACTCATGCACTAACCCATCCACCCACTCATGCACTAATCCATCCACCTGACCACTAACCCATCCACCCACTCATGCACTAATCCATCCACCTGACCACTAACCCATCCACCCACTCATGCACTAACCCATCCACCCACTCATGCACTAATCCATCCACCTAACCACTAATCCATCCACCTGACCACTAACCCATCCACCCATCCATCCACTCATGTACTAATCCATCCATCTGACCACTAACCCATCCACCCATCCATCCACTCATGCACTAATCCATCAACCTGACCACTAACCCATCCATCCACTAATGCACTAATCCATCCACCTGACCACTAACCCATCCATCCACTCATGCACTAATCCGTCCACCTGACCACTAACCCATCCACCCATCCATCCACTCATGCACTAATCCATCCACCTGACCACTAACCCATCCACCCACTCATGCACTAATCCATCCACCTGACCACTAACCCATCCATCCACTAACCCATCCATCCACTCATGCACTAATCCATCCCGCTGACCACTAACCCATCGACTCATGCACTAATTCATCCACCTGACCACTAACCCATCCATCCACTCATGCACTAATCCATCCACCTGACCACTAACCCATCCACCCATCCATCCACTCATGCACTAATCCATCCACGTGACCACTAACCCATCCACCCATCCATCCACCCACTCATGCACTAATCTGTCCACCTGACCACTAACCCATCAACCAATCCATCCACTCATGCACTAATCAATCCACCTGACCACTAACCCATCCACCCACTCATGCACTAATCCATCCACCTGACCACTAACCCATCCATCCATCCACCTGACCACTAACCCATCCATCCATCCACCTGATCATAACTCATCTACCCATCCATCTATCCATTCATCCATCCATTCATTCATCCAACCATCCATGATATTTCGGTTACTCCCATATATGCACGCTGCCATGACAGGAATTCCAGCAGAGAAAGCCAACTTGGTTACTCAGCCATTATGAATACAAGCACCAAGATCCAGAGTCTATACAATGTATCTGTACATTGACCTACTAGCCCCATACTGCATGATTTATTAGTTATTCTGATTCACACCTGGAAGATCAATAAGATGTCGAGACCATGTTCCATCATCTGTGACAGAGTTGTAATGGGCCATCTCTGGTCCTTGGGCATCAACAAAAGTGAGCACATCCACAAACATGACAATATTACAAAACTTCCAAGGTGCTTCTTTAAAGTTCATGGTTCGTGGATTTGCTGACTGCAAATGTCACAATCACAGACCATGAAGATTTCTCCCTTTCATTCTACAGCCGCCATATAGCAGGAATATTGCTGAGTGTGGCGTACAACTAAACTCACTCACTCACTTCTACAGTGTGTTATTGAGGTTTGGCTTGGTTACTGTTTGTGATTTCCTCATGTGTTGTGTCACCATACTGTTCGACTGAAAGTCTACTTCCTTTATGGGTCCTGAGAAGTACACGATATGACACAATTCAGCATTTGTATCAGCTAGTTGAGTGAGTATAGTATTACGCCGCTTTTAGCATCATTCCAGCAATATCATGGTGGGACACAACAGAAATGGGCTTCACACATCGTACCCATGTGACAAATCGAACCCGATTTCTTCAGCATGACAAACGGACGCTTTAACCACTCAGCTACCCCACCGCTAGCAGTATAGACCTGACTGAGAGTTACTTTCACTGATCATACCTTGTTGACGTTTCGACATTGACTTACTGACCACACACGATTTGAAACCAGACGTTTCAAAAGGTGGGAGCGGCCCCAGCAGAAGAAGCAAACATGTGTTTTCAGTGCTTTTGTAATGCTGAGAAACGCAGGGATTGAAAATTAACAACAAATTAGGGGATTAAGGGAAGCACCAGAAGTACCGGTAGTTCATTTGGTCAATTTGACACAAACATTGTTCCCATCATTTGGACTTTACTCTCTGCCACTATGAAACACACACACAATAACTACCCTAGCCAATCAGGATGAAAGAAACAGTGTAAACTATAACGTCTGTAATTATTTGATTGTGACATCATGTCAACTGATGATGTTACAATGGTCTGGAAGCATGATCGTATGGGCTGAAGCCTAGTGGTTAAAGCAGAGTCAATCCGAAGACCCGGGTTCGATTCTCCACATAATGGTACAATGTGTGAAGCCCATTTCTGGCATCCCCCCAAGTGATACTGCTGGAATATTGGTAAAGGCGGAGTAAAAACTAAACTGACTCACTCATAGTAGTAATATCTCCTTAGAGAAGTCACCTGATCTCATTCAGCAACATCAAGTTCCAGTAAGCCAGTTTTGGATGATACATCTGATAACATGTACCAGCTACTGCAACACACACTGTATCATGACACTTTAACAATAGCTCAGTCCTTCAACACCAAATTCTGGGTCAGTACTCACCATAGATATAGGGAGTATTTTTCAACCTTGCACCACGTAGGAGAACATTTTCAGGTCCTAAAGGTTTGACATGGCCCCCTCCAGTGGCCTTGAATATGTTGATCCTGCCAATAAACCTGTACAAGTCCGGGATGGGTTGCTGACACTCGATGCTGGCTTCCAGGTCATGGAGATCCTGCTCCTTCTGGTATTTCCGGGTGTCCTGCACGCACATGTGAGTCTGAAAGAACAGAACAACAATAAACAATTCTCGCTAGTGTGCAGTCCTAGAAAGTGTTGTTCAAGTCAGTTAAAAACACTTCTTTCTCAGGAAGCTACTCAAAAGTAAGCATGGTGATGACTGACTGACCGAGTTTGGTTTTAGGCCGCTTTTAGCAATATTCCAGCAATATCACGGCGGGGGACACCAGAAATGGGTTTCACACATTGAAACCCATGTGGGGATTCGAACCCGGGTCTTTGGCGTGATGAGCCAACGCTTTAACCACTAGGCTGCCTCACCGCCCCAGCATGGTGATGACTGACTGACTGAGTTTAGTTTTACGCCGCTTTTAGCAATATTCCAGCAATATCACGGCGGGGGACACCAGAAATGGGCTTAACACATTGTGCCCATGTGGGGAATCGAACCCGGGCCTTCGGCGTGACGAGCCAACGCTTTAACCACTAGGCTGCCTCACCGCCCCAGCATGGTGATGAAGGGGTCCAACATATTATAATTGGGTAAATAACACCTGGCCCAACGAGGATGTCACTGATGAACTTTAACTGATGGTGAGTAGTCGTAGTTAAGAAAAATTCTTTATGGTCAAGAAATCACTGGTCAAGCATCTTCATGCTTCAAAATAATATGAATAACAATATCTTTTGGGGATATACTTATATTGCATAATTTGCAAATTGCATGTTTCCTGTATACCATACTCAAACTATCATTACCATGAAGAAGCAGTATGGCAGGGTTCCTGAGAACAACATTTAGCAAAGATACTAATTTCACAGTTCCAGAGAAAGGTGTGAAGATGACTGTTTAGTGTTTATTTGAGTCAAAGTTTGTAGTAAACAGTATCCCGAACAGCATCAACCTGTTGTCATGACATCTAACACCTGCCTTATCTAGTAACCATGGAAACCAACCCATCACTATTCATAGTTAGCCATGTTTTTTGTGACAGCTATGTTTGTGCGTAACACTATAACAGGGTCTTTGGTCCCTACTGTGAGCCAAACTTACTGCAAAGAGCGAGTGAGTGGTTTTACGCCGCTTTTAGCAATATTCCAGCAATATCACGGCCAGAGACACCAGAATTGGGCTTCACATATTGTACCGATGTGGGGAATTGAACCCGGGTCTTCAGCGTGACGATCAATGGCTTTAACCACTAGGCTACCCCACCGCCCCTACTGCAAAGAATGCAGGGACCTAAACTGTTGACTTTCCACAAATGTGTAACGAAAAGAACACCTTTACTTTTAAGCTTACATTCAAAATGTCAAGCACCAATATTTTGATAAGTCCTTACATCTCTAATGAGGAGTTCCTGTGCTCCATGAAGTTTGTTTCTACAGTATAGGAATGCGGAGAACCCCTTAGAGTGAGTGAGTGAGTTGGGTTTAACCCTGCTTTGAACAGTCGTCTTGGTAGCTGCAAGTTTGTTCATTCGTCTCTTTCAAAGTAAAAGAAGTTGTTATCCAAATAGATTTTCTATATTGAACTTCCCAACGTCTTAAATGCCACTCCAAGACATTACTGGTGTATAAGCCCTCTTATTCCAGATGTATCTCTTTAAAGAACACCTACAAATGAGCATCACACACGTGCTTCACACATTGTCTTCTGCAAACTTTAAGATAATGGTCATGATAAGCTCCTTATTACTCTCTGACTTCAGCTCAAGCAACAATTGCAGCGTTAGGGTAGCCTGGTGGTTGAAGTGTTCATGTTTGGGTTTGATTCCCACATGGGTACAACCAGTCAAACCCATTTCTGGTGTCCCCAGCCATGGTATATGATTATTTCTCAAAGCAGTTTAAAAACCAACTCACAAACACTTAAATGATAATCAAAATGTTATTAAACAGACTTTTCAATACTGAGTTTGTCAACACTTGCAGACGACTGGTTACTTGGAAATACTCATGACACCTAAAGCAAGTCTTTACTAGAAAAAAGTCACGATTATGTTGAGTGCATCAACAGAAAGTGAGATCTTTGTCCTTTCACACAAGGATCAGTCAGACGATGCAGTTGTCCATGGGTTGATGGCCATGCATTGACTGCAAGTGTAATATCAATATTTTACACTTCCCAGACTGAAGAGATCACGGGGTCCTTGACGTAGTATATACATGGTATATTTTGAACAATGGTGGGGGAAAGAAGCTTTTAGGATCTTTTTAGTAATTACATGTATATACTCATGGCTCAATTTAGGGGGAGTGAGGTGGGTTTTACGCCGCTTTTAGAAATAGCAATATCACGACGGGGAACACCAGAAATGAGCTTCACACATTGCACCCATGTGGGAAACTCAATTTAAGGAACTCTGTTTAACTTGTACAAGGTGCTTCTTGATATGAAGCATAAATAATTACATATAATACGGGTAATAAAACATAAACGACATAAAACAAGAATGGTCAGTCAGATTCTAATTTGAACACAGTAAACGACATAAAACGAGAATGGCCAGTCAGATTCTAATTTGATCACAGTAAACGACATAAAACAAGAATGGTCAGTCAGATACTAATTTGAACACAGTAAACGACATAACACAAGAATGGTCAGTCAGATACTAATTTGAACACAGTAAACGACATAAAACAAGAATGGTCAGTCAGATACTAATTTGAACACAGTAAACGCCATAAAAAACGAGAATGGCCAGTCAGATTCTAATTTGAACACAGTAAACGACATAAAACAAGAATGGTCAGTCAGATACTAATTTGAACACAGTAAACGACATAAAACGAGAATGGCCAGTCAGATACTAATTTGAACACAGTAAACGACATAAAACAAGAATGGTCAGTCAGATACTAATTTGAACACAGTAAACCACATAAAACGAGAATGGCCAGTCAGATTCTAATTTGAACACAGTAAACGACATAAAACAAGAATGGTCAGTCAGATACTAATTTGAACACAGTAAACGACATAAAACGAGAATGGCCAGTCAGATACTAATTTGAACACAGTAAACGACATAAAACAAGAATGGCCAGTCAGATTCTAATTTGAACACAGTAAACGACATAAAACAAGAATGGTCAGTCAGATACTAATTTGAACACAGTAAACGACATAAAACAAGAATGGTCAGTCAGATACTAATTTGAACACAGTAAACGACATAAAACAAGAATGGTCAGTCAGATACTAATTTGAACACAGTAAACGACATAAAACGAGAATGGCCAGTCAGATTCTAATTTGAACAAAGTAAACGACATAAAACAAGAATGGTCAGTCAGATGCTAATTTGAACACAGTAAACGACATAAAACAAGAATGGCCAGTCAGATACTAATTTGAACACAGTAAACGACATAAAACAAGAATGGTCAGTCAGATGCTAATTTGAACACAGTTAACGACATAACACAAGAATGCAAGTGATAGATATAAGGGACTGTATATTTCGTCCCAACTGCTGTATATCTTAGTGGAAAAACATATACAGATTATACAAACTAAAATCAGATGTCCTTTTGCATTGGTCATAACTGTAGTTTACTGTGTACTTAACAAGCACTTGGTGCATGTACACATACGGATCAGGTTGCTTTTATCAATAATAGGTAATAAACACACACTTTAGCATGTTCAGAGTAGCCTGATTGAGCCCTGACATTCAAACTGACAAACAACATACCTTGGGTTTCTACAACACATCAATATTGTAGGAAGATCTAGTCTAAAAGTTTTCAGCATAAAGTGATACCAACAAGAGACCCTATATCGATGTAGTCTCTATAGAAAATACTAAATGCAGTTGGCGTACAACTGTGGAATACTGTTTTGACGATTGTAACAAAGTGGCACTGGTGATTGAATGTCATTGCGAAAGTGATTAAAGTCATATTGCACTAGTGAAAGAGTCTTGGCTATATAATACAAAGAATGTTTTAACTTTTAAATGTTTTCCAGAGTATTGTTTATAATAATAATGTTTGAATCGTTATCTTTCAAATCTCCAAAACCTTTACTTAAATAATTTTGTATCTAAATTCACACATTCATTTGAGAATTGTTTCACATTTCTAGCTGAAAATACACGGATTCGTAACAAAAAGATGAACTCACTTTCAAGTTGGTCTCTCCGTCCAGGTTCGCAGTAGTAATGTAGCAGGTGCCCTGTGGGTCGCTGGAGGAGAGCATCACCAGGTCACATGGGAAGTCTTCATTGGCTTCCACTTTCACAATGTCCCCAACCTGCAACATCATGGAAACATAATATACCCAACCTGCAACATCATGGAAACATAATATACCCAACCTGCAACATCAGGGAAACATAATATACCCAACCTGCAACATCATGGAAACATCATGGAAACATAATATACCCAACCTGCAACATCAGGGAAACATAATATACCCAACCTGCAACATCATGGAAACATAATATACCCAACCTGCAACATCATGGAAACATCATGGAAACATAATATACCCAACCTGCAACATCAGGGAAACATAATATACCCAACCTGCAACATCATGGAAACATAATATACCCAACCTGCAACATCAGGGAAACATAATATACCCAGCCTGCAACATCATGGAAACATAATATACCCAGCCTGCAACATCAGGGAAACATAATATACCCAGCCTGCAACATCATGGAAACATAATATACCCAGCCTGCAACATCATGGAAACATAATATACCCAACCTGCAACATCATGGAAACATAATATACCCAACCTGCAACATCAGGGAAACATAATATACCCAACCTGCAACATCATGGAAACATAATATACCCAACCTGCAACATCAGGGACACATAATATACCCAACCTGCAACATCAGGGACACATAATATACCCAACCTGCAACATCATCGTGGAAACAGAATGTCATTCCGTTTAATGTCATGGAAACACAATTTCATCATGGAAACACAATCTCATCACCTTGAACATCATGGAAACACAATCTCACCACCTAGAACATCAGGGAAACACAATCTAATCACCTAGAACATCATGGAAACACAATCTCATCACCTAGAAGATCATGGAAACACAATCTAATCACCTAGAACATCATGAAAACACAATCTAATCACCTAGAACATCATGACAACACAATCTAATCACCTAGAACATCATGGAAACACAATCTCATCACCTGTAACATCATGGAAACACAATCTCATCACCTTGAACATCATGGAAACACAATCTCATCACCTGTAACATCATGGAAACACAATCTAATCACCTAGAACATCAGGGAAACACAATCTCATCACCTGTAACATCATGGAAACACAATCTCATCACCTTGAACATCATGGAAACTCAATCTCATCACCTGTAACATCATGGAAACACAATCTAATCACCTAGAACATCATGGAAACACAATCTCATCACCTGTAACATCATGGAAACACAATCTCATCACCTTGAACATCATGGAAACACAATCTCATCACCTGTAACATCAGGGAAACACAATCTCATCACTTAGAACATCATGGAAACACAATCTCATCACCTGTAACATCATGGAAACACAATCTCATCACCTTGAACATCATGGAAACACAATCTCATCACCTGTAACATCAGGGAAACACAATCTCATCACTTAGAACATCATGGAAACACAATCTCATCACCTGTAACATCATGGAAACACAATCTCATCACCTGTAACATCATGGAAACACAATCTCATCACCTGTAACATCATGGAAACACAATCTCATCACCTGTAACATCATGGAAACACAATCTCATCACCTGTAACATCAGGGAAACACAATCTCATCACCTAGAACATCAGGGAAACACAAACTCATCACCTAGAACATCATGGAAACACAATCTCATCACCTGTAACATCATGGAAACACAATCTAATCACCTAGAACATCATGGAAACACAATCTCATCACCTGTAACATCAGGTAAACACAATCTCATCACCTTGAACATCATGGAAACACAATCTCATCACCTGTAACATCAGGGAAACACAATCTCATCACCTAGAACATCATGGAAACACAATCTCATCACCTGTAACATCATGGAAACACAATCTCATCACCTTGAACATCAGGGAAACACAATCTCATCACCTGTAACATCAGGGAAACACAATCTTATCACCTTGAACATCATGGAAACACAATCTCATCACCTGTAACATCAGGGAAACACAATCTCATCACTTAGAACATCATGGAAACACAATCTCATCACCTTGAACATCAGGGAAACACAATCTCATCACCTGTAACATCAGGGAAACACAATCTCATCACCTTGAACATCAGGGAAACACAATCTGATCACCTGTAACATCATGGAAACACAATCTCATCACCTAGAACATCATGGAAACACAATCTCATCACCTTCAACATCATGGAAACACAATCTCATCACCTGTAACATCATGGAAACACAATCTAATCACCTAGAACATCAGGGAAACACAATTTCATCACCTGTAACATCATGGAAACACAATCTCATCACTTAGAACATCGGGGAAACACAATCTCATCACTTAGAACATCATGGAAACACAATCTCATCACTTAGAACATCATGAAAACACAATCTCATCACCTTGAACATCATGGAAACACAATCTCATCACCTGTAACATCAGGGAAACACAATCTCATCACCTGTAACATCATGGAAACACAATCTCATCACCTGTAACATCAGGGTAACACAATCTCATCACTTAGAACATCAGGGAAACACAATCTCATCACTTAGAACATCAGAGAAACTCAATCTCATCATCTGTAACATCAGGGAAACACAATCTCATCACCTAGAACATTAGGGAAACACAATCTGATCACCTGTAACATCATGGAAACACAATCTCATCACCTTGAACATCATGGAAACACAATCTCATCACCTTGAACATCAGGGAAACACAATTTCATCACCTGTAACATCAGGGAAACACAATCTCATCACTTAGAACATCAGGGAAACACAATCTCATCACCTGTAACATCATGGAAACACAATCTCATCACCTGTAACATCATGGAAACACAATCTCATCACCTGTAACATCATGGAAACACAATCTCATCACCTGTAACATCATGGAAACACAATCTCATCACCTGTAACATCAGGGAAACACAATCTCATCACTTAGAACATCAGGGAAACACAAACTCATCACCTAGAACATCATGGAAACACAATCTCATCACCTGTAACATCATGGAAACACAATCTAATCACCTAGAACATCATGGAAACACAATCTCATCACCTGTAACATCGGGGAAACACAATCTCATCACCTTGAACATCATGGAAACACAATCTCATCACCTGTAACATCAGGGAAACACAATCTCATCACCTAGAACATCATGGAAACACAATCTCATCACCTGTAACATCATGGAAACACAATCTCATCCCTAGAACATCATGGAAACACAATCTCATTACCTGTAACATCAGGGAAACACAATCTTATCACCTTGAACATCATGGAAACACAATCTCATCACCTGTAACATCAGGGAAACACAATCTCATCACTTAGAACATCATGGAAAGACAATCTCATCACCTTGAACATCAGGGAAACACAATCTCATCACCTGTAACATCATGGAAACACAATCTCATCACCTTGAACATCAGGGAAACACAATCTCATCACCTGTAACATCATGGAAACACAATCTCATCACCTAGAACATCATGGAAACACAATCTCATTACCTGTAACATCATGGAAACACAATCTCATCACTTAGAACATCAGGGAAACACAATCTCATCACTTAGAACATCAGGGAAACACAATCTCATCACTTAGAACATCATGAAAACACAATCTCATCACCTTGAACATCAGGGAAACACAATCTCATCACCTGTAACATCAGGGAAACACAATCTCATCACCTGTAACATCAGGGAAACACAATCTGATCACCTGTAACATCAGGGAAACACAATCTCATCACTTAGAACATCAGGGAAACACAATCTCATCACTTAGAACATCAGGGAAACACAATCTCATCACCTATAACATCATGGAAACACAATCTCATCACCTTGAACATCATGGAAACACAATCTCATCACCTGTAACATCAGGGAAACACAATCTCATCACTTAGAACATCAGGGAAACACAATCTCATCACTTAGAACATCAGGGAAACTCAATCTCATCATCTGTAACATCAGGGAAACACAATCTCATCACCTAGAACATCAGGGAAACACAATCTCATCACCTTGAACATCAGGGAAACACAATCTCATCACCTTGAACATCATGGAAACACAATCTCATCACCTTGAACATCAGGGAAACACAATCTCATCACATGTAACATCAGGGAAACACAATCTCATCACTTAGAACATCAGGGAAACACAATCTCATCACTTAGAACATCAGGGAAACACAATCTCATCACCTGTAACATCATGGAAACACAATCTCATCACCTTGAACATCAGGGAAACACAATTTCATCACCTGTAACATCAGGGAAACACAATCTCATCACCTGTAACATCAGGGAAACACAATCTCATCACCTGTAACATCAGGGAAACACAATCTCATCACTTAGAACATCATGACAACACAATCTAATCACTTAGAACATCATGGAAACACAATCTCATCACCTGTAACATCATGGAAACACAATCTCATCAGCTGTAACATCATGGAAACACAATCTCATCACCTAGAACATCATGGAAACACAATCTCATCACCTGTAACATGGTGACTCAAATGGTGGTCTACCAGGGAATGCCATCATTCCTTCATGAATTCATAATTTTTTAAAACTATTTTCTGTTGCACAATGCAACTGACATATCGATATAAGGTGCTGGTCACTGTCTACAGTAGGGGACAACATTTCTTGATGCACAGATGTACAGGCCTCAAACTGTAATTTTATACCAATTAGCCAAATGGCTTCAAGTACGTTTTCTTAGGTTAGCCATTTGTTGAACATTTAAAGTAATCAAGCCACTCTTGTAGGTAGCCACAGATATTTTTAATAACCCTTTCAAAGCATTTTTTTATCAAATTCCCATTACAAGTCTTGGAATCATACATTAGGCATGCATTCTTCATAATCGGTAAATATTCTTTGTTAAATTTTTCAGCAATCAATTTTGACATACTTCCAAAAGTCACCCATGAGTAA